GATAATTAGCATTGTGAACCACGATCGCAGTGAACACGATGTCGAGCAGCCTCTTTTCAGTCTCTGTCTAAATGCTTCTTAATTATAATAGTTTGCATAAAAATATACAAGATAGTTTTTCCATGATGGAGAATAAATATCACTCGACGTATGTTCGTTTTTAATTTCCGGTAGATAAGATATACGTTTGTGACTTGTAAGAGAGAGTTTGTAAGACTGCTAATAGCAATACAAATCTTTTCTTTTTTTTTTTTTTCCTAGAAAGAAGTATCAAATATATTCGGTCAAAGTCGTCCGCACAAACCCAATTTTTCTTTTTCAAAATCAATTTTCATTCATACGGATATTCCGATGTAAAGTTTCACGCAACGAGGAGAAATATTTGCGAACACACTTCGCCAGATGTTGAAAAAACAATTGAATTGATTCCGGAGGAAAGAGAATTTCCACATTTTATCGAGCACGTTCTTCTTCTGCTCGCGATGTGACATACGCGTTGAATTATTTAGCACGCTCGTTTGACTTCGCACGACAGAGTGACATTTTTCTTATTCATAAATCATGGAAAGTATGATTCGTTAGCAAAACAGAATGATATACGGCAACCTGTTAACTGCAGATCGGGAACGTGTAATCGGACATCGAACGCATCATTTATTTCGGATACGCGCATTAATAATATACAATTCCGTTTGTGGAACCTCGTCCTGTAGAAATGCCGGATTCTCCTTTTGTCATTCCAGTCGTAGTCGAGTTGTTCGAATTCTCTTTGACAACGATCGACTTTCTCGGTGTTTGCCGTCCTTTTGATACATATTTCCTCGCGAATTTAAATAATATCTATGATATCTCATTCGCGTGTTTGATTTTTCCTTTTTTTTTTTTTTTTTTTTCTTTCAATTAACCACTTGCGCTGGCAACTAATTGCGGACCATAACGAGTGACCGAACCGTACACAATAAAATTCGTCGTTTTCTTATCTCGAAGTCGTCGGTATGACATCATAACTTAGAATAGAAATTACTAAGGAGTAATAAATTTATTATCTGTTTCGCCTCGGTTATACTTAAATATACTTGAAACTGTGGAAAATATAACAATTTTGGAACAAAAGATTCTCGACACGTCATTCCAGCGCAAAGAGGTTATTCCCTTGCGCTGGTTTGCGGACCATAACGAGTGACCAAACTGTATACAGTAATTCGTCGCTTTCTTTTCGAACTCGTCGGTACGACATCATAACTTAGAATAGAAATTACCAAGGAGTAATAAATTTATTATTTGTTTCGCCTCAGTTATACTTAAATATACTTGAAACTGTGGAAAATATTACAATTTTGGAACAAAAGATTCTCGACACGTCATTCCAGCGCAAAGAGGTTAATCCCTTGCGCTGGTTTGCGGACCATAACGAGTGACCAAACTGTATACAGTAATTCGTCGCTTTCTTTTCGAACTCGTCGGTATGACATCATAACTTAGAATAGAAATTACTAAGGAGTAATAAATTTATTATTTGTTTCGCTTCGGTTATACATAAATATACTTGAAACTGTGGAAATATTACAATTTTGGAACAAAAAGATTCTCGACGTGCGCGACACGTCATTCCAGCGCAAAGAGGTTAATCCCTTGCGCTGGTTTGCGGACCATAACGAGTGACCAAACCGCGCACAATAATTCGTCGCTTTCTTTGTGAACTCGTCGGTACGATATCACTGGATAGAAATTATTGACAAGTACTGAATCTATTATTATTTGCTTTGCCTATTTTGTTTTACTCAAATATACTTACAAACCGAGGAAATATTACAATTTTGAAACAAAAAATTCTCTTTCCAGCGCAAGAGGTTAACGATCGTCGTCGATGTTTTAAACGAATATCAAACAATTTGTTACCAGTTCAGATGAAATATTAACAACGTTGAACACCGATAACAAATAATTTTGGTAATTACATAATTCGAATGATTTCATTAGCGAGTACTATATAATTCGTCTAGTTCAAAGGTGATCGGACTTGTTTCTTATGGTAAATTAACATTGCAAATCTATATGCTTGATTTACGCGATATCTACATATTTATCGTTATCTTAAATTTACAGTTTACGATTCTAATTTTGATATTCTTCGACAATGTGACAGGATTATTTGATTTGGCGTAATTAAATAAATTTGCTAGCGTGTCTTATCGCGAGGAACTGCTCGGTTAATATTTTATCTGAAATATCGTAAACGAGGTAAAAGAAGTTATAGATCGCGATAAATTTGTTCAATTAAAATTTTATCCAAATATCATCATCGGGATAAAATTATGTCACGACTATTTTTGATGGTATGATCGAAAGATATATATATCTATATATATATATATATATTTTTTTTAATTACACAAATTATCGGCGACAAATACCGAGAAATATTGAATTTGAAGGTTTCGTTTCTCGTGCATAGGTACACTCAATCGTGGATATTTTATTGCACATTTCATGTGCATTTTCACGTGCCCTATGTGTACATTATTACAATGTAAATATTTTCTCTACCTAAATCATCTACCTACATACCTATGCTTTTCCCGTGCTTTTCTTTGCTCGTCGAAATACTTTATCGTTCTCCTCTTTTTAACTATCGAATAGCACCTGTTTCCGCCATTTCAGACGCTCACACTAAGTCATTTCGTTTTCTCCTTATCCTTTCTCGATACCTAGTCGTGATTGTTAAATAATGACATGACACTTGCTAGTTTGCCTGGATCGAGTTTACATGCGAGAAGTAAAACAAAATTAATTCTCTCGAGCAAAATTGTGATGACACTTTTGAGATGAGACATTTAAGATTTGATAAGGTTATTTTAGCACAACTATATTTCCTTATTTAACACTAGAACTACCGACTTACGTATAAAATTTCCATCAGAGACACTAAACGAAAAAAAAAAAAAAACAACAGAAAAGCTGCGTGGTAACAATAATTTTTTAGAATAAATTTTTATCTCTATATTTTACAAAAAAAAATCATTTAAATCTTCCTTATTTAACACTAGAACTACCGACTTACGTATGAAATTTCCATCAGAGACACTAAATAAAAAAAAAAAACAACAACAGAAAAGCTAACAATAACTTTTTAGAATAAATTTTTATCTCTATATTTTACAAAAAAATCATTTAAATCTCTGAGAATAGTTTCGTGTTCCAACAAAAATTATAAACTCGGTCGTTTTGAGCACTTTGGTAGTTCTAGTGTTAATTTGACAATTAACGAAACAAGATCGAACAAAGATGATGAATTTCTCTTCAGTTTCTCACAATCAGTATCAATTCAGTTTCTATTTGCAGTTTATATCTTAAAAATTTGCCTACACGTTGTACAATCCGTACAAGCTATCTCCTTATCTAACGGAGAAATAAATAAAATCGTGGATTTTTAAATATTCTGTTTTTAAAATATTTCCCTCTCGTTTTCCTATTATTACCAAGTTGCCAACAAATTATATAACGAACGATGCAACTTTTTATGCTTCCTCGATCAATATTCATCGTCCCTCCTTCACGGTGTTTAATTTATGCGCAAGTTAAATTATTATCAAGAGTATCGCAACAAAACTGGTTCACGACGGGACATAGACTTTGACGGATATAGACTATAAAAATTGATCTGACCTAATTAGCTCGTGGCAATACATTGAGTTCCATCGTGACGAGCGATGCAAGAGCATATCAGGCTCTATTGATTTTTCTTTTCCCTATGCTTTTAAAATAATCCCTTCTCCATTCTTCGTCCATTATCTTCATATAAATTGATTCAATATTCAATCAATTTTTTTTTTTCTACTCGACAACTCTTTCGCAATAATCGCATTTTCATAGCCGAGATTATTCGCTCTCTCGTTCATTTGCATAGACGTTTAGTGGTATGATCCGGCATGTTTTACTTGTTGCGTGTAAACTCGATTTAGATACAGTTTGCTTCGTTATTGTGTGTCAGTGTCTCTCCTTGTTGACAGGATCGTGAGAATAGCAGTCACGATCGCCGTGACGATCCACACGAGAAAATAATAATCGAATTATAAAAAACTATTGCACGTTCCATATCGCTTGTTACATTGCGTGCACGTATTATCACGTACGTATGTATGTATGTATGTATATATGTGCTACTTTGCTCGGCAAAATAGTTGTTCGTTGCAATGCGAAATAATATTGCAACGACGGGTCGGGCGCAACAACAATATCAAAATCAACCGCAAGGGAAACAGCGACAAGAAGCCACGAAAATTAATTGCACAGATTCGAACGATCAACGAGAATCATCCGGCACGTTCAACCCTCTATAATCTCGGCGCTGATATTTTCAAGTCCAATTTTACACCGCTATCAAATAATTTACTCGCAACTTGCAATGCTTGCAATTCCCAATTTTCTTCTCGTACCATAGAGGGGTTGGACGAACAATTCTGGTTGTTGGTTTCGATAGTAAAAAATATTAACTCTGGCTAGTAGTAACAATGGATCAACACATTAGAAACTAAAAACAATTCGTCTCGCTGGTTCAATACGGGTAATAAACCATGATAATAACTTTCGAAGCGTGCGGCAACGTGAATCGACGTTATTCGAAACGAAACAGTGATCTCGCTGTGCTCTAGAGACAACGCGCATCTTTATACAGCTTTACCTACATTGATATCCTACTAGCATCCCATCGGAATTCCATGAAATTACGTTCGTATGATACATTGCACAATCATTTCTTCGCAAGATAGGCACGCGGGTTTTATTTACATTCTGCATTTCGATCCGCGCTCCCATCTTTTACGCCTTAGAACCTCGATACCCTATCGGCTAGCGGTTAAATACCTTCTGCTACTTGCTACTAATCGGATCGATCTATTTCTTCTAAAGGAACGAATGAGTCACGTACCGTTTTATCGTTTCACAGAGAACAGAGGCCGGCCGAGCCTTTGCCTTGCTCTGACGTTGGCAAATTTTTATCACGGCGTACAGAGATATGTGACAATTTCTTTTTTTTTCGTAAAAGAAAGAAAGAAAGAAAAACCATCGACGAAATAAATTAGTGAAAGATTGCGAAGGCGAAAATTTTCGTCTCGTCACGGCGTTCGCACGCAGTTATTGCACGCATATATGCTCGTCGATGAACTCTCCGAGGGAAAATTATTGCACAATGACGCTTTCGTCCAAGAAATGTACGACAAAAGTAATTTGCAGAAATTATTGTAGAACAATATCACGAAAAACTTCGAGAAATCATCTGTTCAACGAACGATACCTATTGATTGACACAACGAGCGTGGTGTTTTTCGTACAACAAGACGGAAAGAGTCGGGAACTCTATGGAAAATGACTACGTACACGCAAAAAGAGGCTTCTACAAACGGACTCACGACGAAGAGAGAAATAGAAACAGACAGAGAGAGAGAGAGAGAGAGGGCAAATCTCTCTATAGAGAGGAAATCACGGTGAGTGCAGGCAGCAGTAGCGACTCTCTGCCGTGAGGGGCACAGGAAATCAACGCGGTAATGATGATCAAAGCTATGGTCTTTGACGAAGAGTATCCCGGCGAGAGTAGGTCGAAGAGAATGTTCAACGTCTGCTGTCTACGGCCCTTGGCTTTTGATTGAACCCTCTCTTCTCGCGTCGTTTGCTCCTTCTCGGAGGATTTGAAAGCTCCTTCTCGTCAGCGAGAAGAATCCTCTTCCTTCTTGTACTAGGACTGCGGTCAGGCTCAAGGTCACAGTGGTCAGGACGCTAAAGTGGTCCTGTGCCAGGAGGCGTGCTGATGCTGGTGCTGATGTTGCTGGTGATTGTGATTATGATTATGATGCTGATGCTGATGCTGATGCTGACGATTTTGCTGTTGATTTTGATGCTGTTGCTGGTGATTGTGATGCTGGTGCTGATACTGTTGATATGCTTGCTGCTGCTGCTGCTGCTGTTGTAGTTGTTGTTGTTGTTGTTGTTGTTGTTGTTGTTGTTGTTGTTGTAGTAGTTGTTGTTGCTGCTGTTGTTGTTGTTGCTGCTGCTGCTGCTGCTGTGGCCTCTTCTGACTGCAAATCAGAAAAAAAAACAGGATGTACGATTACTCTCAGAATGTCGACTGAATTCCTACACGGGTACTCAAGATGCGTAGGCATTCTACTGGCCGTGATTCTACTTGCGACAATGAGCCGCGCAAGCCAGCTCAAGCGAAAATACCAGTTTATAATTATAGGCGTGCGGCAAGTGGTTTATATTGCTACGTTCTATCCTTTTTTTGCACGACAATGCTTGAAAGAAACGCGAAAAAGAAATAGCTCGATTGAATCAAGGTGGAATCACTGGGGATATTATATATCAATCGTGGGTAGGAAACTTCTTTTTGCAAGTTTGCCGGTTGGAGCTGTAACAGAATATTCGCTGCTCGTGCCTCTAAATATGTAACACACTCTTTCGCAATGTAACACGCAGAGACACTGGTAACCTGGTGCATATTGCATGACAGACAGAGAGCTGCCGGACGAAATAATTCCAGGCTCGAAGTATAGTGAGCTGAGGTGAATCTTCGCGACGTGGAGCGTGGTCACGTCGCGTGTGCAAAACGTCGAATAGAGCGGAGCGTGACCAGTAAGCGTGTAAGCACATTTTTTTTTTTTTTTTTCTCTCTCCATCGACCCTGAACGAATTCTACTGTAACAGCTTTTATTATCGTGGCTTTTATTATCGTTGCTCGCTGCCGCGGGCACAATGGATTGTACAAAGCACGAGCTTGCAAAACTTCTATCGACGCACGAGAACAGCGGAGGAGAGAAGGATGCTTTTCTGATAAGAAAAAATTCGTACGTTGCCCGAGTTGAACGCACGATGTTGTGTAATTGGACGTTGTAAGAGGGAGGAGCAGCCACATTTTTACATTTAATTATTATCAAATGGGAGAAATATGTAAAATAAATGGCCTCGATCTTACGATAATATAACGCGAGACATTTGCATGTACATATTTGTCGCGTTGAAATTCCAAATGACATACTTTTTGCGGTACGAAACTGTACATGTGCGTGCGATTCAGCAAGTCATAAAAACTGCACGACCTTCGGCTAAAAATGACACACGACGTATTATTATTATTATCATTATTATTATTATTATTATTATTATTATTATTACTCGCTGAAAAGTTCTAAAACGCGCAATACACGCAAACTTGGTCGACGTGAGGAAAGATTTTCAATTTTTTTCTTTTTCTCTCTCTTTTCTTTTTTTCTTCTAGATTTATACGCACTCTCGCGAAAATATAAGGAATTGATCGCGAAATAACGCACCATTTTCTCTCGATTACATGGTTTCACGAACATGTACGCGAGGTGAAGTATCAGGTGCATAAATCGACGATTAAATAGACGGGAAATTTATGCCCTAATAAAATCATAAACGTTGTTGCTGCGATAAAAGTTTGTACTCCTAGAATTTCATATACATCTACAACGTTCAGTACGTACACCAGAGAATTTTATGTATATTTACAACGTTCAGTACGTTGTAATTATTTAACGAGAAAATTGCTCGGATATTTTTATCTAAATTTCTTAAATTTACATTGTACACTTATGATCGTACATTTGCTATTTTCTTCTAGCTCCTACAAGGACGAAAATACTTCTTGCTAACAAAGTTATTTTGAAATTTTAATAACATTGACTTGAATAATATCGACTCGCTATTTTTAACGTAGCTAAAATTGTAAACTTTCCAACATCGTATCGTATTAAGCAATTAAAGTTGAACATATACTTTTAAAACGATCGATAATGTTTGTTTAATTTTGGAATCTCGTAATTTCTTCTAAATGTGTTCCAAATACTAAACACACTAAATAAATATGTAAATGAAATTTCGTTCGTGTAGACTTTACTTGCTAAACTATGACATAAGATACAGTTTGAATACATAATTCATTCTACATTCGGATAATCGAAGTTCGAACGATCGGCTTGCTCTACCGTACATGAATTATATATATATACAAATATCTGTTACACGTTATTCTCGACAAATCTGTATTTCATTCAAACACGACTGTTCACACATTTACTTGAAACTAACAGATGATTAAATATATTGTATATACTCGTGTCCCGTGTTCTCGTCAGTTTTCAACAAACTTACATTGGAACACTGTGCATTATCGATGTCAAGCGTCACCACAAATGCGAATCAGATGGCAATAGTGGCCATTTCGAATATTTATTACAACCCCATGACACGGTTTGCTTTTTAACAAGCTTTCTAACACCTCCCCCCCCAAGAGACAAAGGAGAAAATCGAACGTGCATTTTCATGCTTCATTCAACTAACTTTAATACTCGCTTTTATCAAACGAGTCGTTAAGTTGTTAAATGTTTTTATTGTTTCATAAATCAATATTTAATCAACTTAAGTTAATGCTCGTGTTTTCACGTTGCATTTAATAAAAAAAAAAAAAATGCATGACGTGATTATTATGCACGATACGGATCAAACGTGCGAATAAAAATTATTGTTGCCTCCTGCACATTTGTATATATAAATACACGCAGTTTAATTTGAAATTTCATCGATCGAAACACGTACTCTACAGGCTTTCCGAAGCGTCGCGATTTTAACTTTCGATTTATGATTCTGTCGGGAAGCTCTGCGCCTTTAGTTCGTTCGCGGTAATATTGCGGATAATAACGGAGGAATAATCATCAGGGCCGGGGGTTGGTGTAACCCTTTCGGTTGGACGATCGATCCTGAATAATTCAATTAAAACGAGAAGGAAAACGAACGCCCGGTGTCTGCGCTCTACTCTCCACGACGATGTATCATAAAACGACGACGAAAGAGAGTGGAAAAACGATCGCGGAGTGCACGTTCGACGATCGGAATTAACATTCGATAGACGAGACGCCGCACGTCGCGTCTCGCCGCCGACCAATCGGAAACGCGCGCCAGTTTATACATAGGTAGCAATAATGTCCGTCCCCTCCCGCTCCGATCAAGCCTCGACACAGACGTAATATCGACGAAAACGAGATTATATTCCGATGAATCGTAATTGCGTTGAAATGCAAATTAACCGGCCTGGTGCTTGCAATAGCCGGCAATTACCAACGCGACAGTACTCGCGATCCGGGAGGTTTTCACCGTTACTTTTTCGTCGTCTCTTTGCTTCCTTCGTCGAATTTGCACGTATTTCGCGTATCGCCGGCAACGAGACAATGGTCAATAGTCGTTAATTTCATTGGCTGAGAATTAAGTACTTTTCTCTTGGCGTTTAATAAGTTTGTTATCAGTTTGTTATTGCATGTGATGAGGGGTAGGAGGAAAATAAGTGGAATCGTATTTTGTTTTTTGCATTTGAAACACGAGGATCGAGTGATTGACACGAGTTTCAACAACCTCTTGCGCTGGGAAACTGGTTTGCGGACCATAACGAGTGACCGAACCGTGTATACAACAATTCGTCACTTTCTTTCCCTTTTGAATTCGTCAGTGGACGACATCACTGGATGGAAATTATTAAAAAGTAATAAACTTATCATTTGTTTCGTCTGGGTTACACTTAAATATACTTATAACTGAGAAAACGTTCCAAATTTGGGCCAAATATTGTCGAAATGCGCTTAATCTCCTGCGCTAGTAACTGATTGCGGACCATAACGAGTGACCGAACCGTGTATACAACAATTCGTCACTTTCTATTTCTTTTCAACTCGTCGGTATGACATCACTGGATGGAAATTATTAAAAAGTAATAAACTTATCATTTGTTTCGTCTGGGTTATACCTAAATATACTTATAACTGAGAAGATGTTGCAATTTTGGATCAAAATATTGTCAAAGTGCGCTTAACCTCTTGCGCTGGAAACTGGTTCGCGGACCATAACGAGTGGCCAAGCCGTATACAATAATTCGTCTTCTTTTTGAATTCATCGATATATCACTGAACAGAAATTGCTAAGAAATAATTACTAAAATGTAATTTATTATTTGTTTCGACTGAGTTACATTTAAATGTACTTAAAAACTGAGAAAATGTTGCAATTTGAGGTTAACCCCTTGCGCTGGCAACTGATTGCGGACCATAACGAGTGGCCAAGCCGTATACAATAATTCGTCTTCTTTTTGAATTCATCGATATATCACTGAACAGAAATTGCTAAGAAATAATTACTAAAAAGTAATTTATTATTTGTTTCGACTGAGTTACATTTAAATGTACTTAAAAACTGAGAAAATGTTGCAATTTGAGGTTAACCTCTTGCGCTGGCAACTGATTGCGGACCATAACGAGTGACCGAACCGTGTATACAACAATTCGTCACTTTCCATTTCTTTTCAACTCGTCGGTATGACATCACTGGATGGAAATTATTAAAAAGTAATAACCTTATCATTTGTTTCGTCTGGATTACATTTAAATATATTTAAAACTGTGAAAATTTTGCAATTTGCGACAAAATATTCTCGACGTGCGTGGCACGTCATTCCAGCGCAAGAGGTTAATTGAAACAAGGTCGCAAGGTTTTCCATCCGCGGGTGATAACACGCTCAAATTTGTCACGACGGGAGATAATTGGAAAGAAATCGTTTCGATAATTGCTCGTCGAGTGACCACGTGGACACGACGACGTAGATGACTCGATTTATCCACGCGTCAATGCACATGTTGGAATAAAAAGCGAGATACAGTCACGCGGTGCTAATTTGGGACGAATCGGGAACAATCGCGATTATTATCGATTACATTACTAATTAATATTAATATTAATTCGTGTCTCTGCAGTCCGATAATAAATTAATCGTGTTCTTAACAACATCGATACGACATTATTGATAATAACACAGACGTCCAATAAAACTGATTAACTTAAGTAGCCTCTTAAGAGTATCTTAATAGTATCAGTTTCAAGAATATTGCAAAAGGGAGGGACTATCGTGAAAACAAAAACGAACAGGCAATTTTGGTTGAGTTTCAAGACTTTGTTGGATCATCGACGGCTCTTTAGATAGAACTTGAACGTCACGCGAGTGTGCGATGACTCTAAC